GCTTCGGCACGGGTTTCGGGTGCCTAAGTTCGACTCCCACAGCATCAGTAAGGTTCCTGCCTCAGCACTCCAGACAGCAAGGTGGTTCTACGTTGACTTCGGAAGGGACCATGGAGGGAGGAGTAGCAGCATCGGCAGAGGGGGACGCGGCTGCGGCAGCAACGCTGGCAGCAACCATGCAAAGCCGTCTTGCAATCGTACCTCCCATCCCTCCTTTGGCTGCGGCCGCAATCTCGCATTGGCTTTGCTGGGGGCTGGAGGCGCTGGCAGTCCCAGCACCCCGCTCAATCTCCGATTTTCGTTCGTACGATTTTCGTCGGCATGGCCTCTCTGTCTCTGGCACTCGACATCTAGGGATGCACCGCTTGTGTTGAGACGTTGCTCCCTAAGAGGCCCCTGTCTCTCTCACACCAACTGCGGTGGAAGGGGCTTCATGCTGCCTTGCCATGCGCCTTCATAGGACGCACCGTCTGCATGTTGAAGGCGCCCGCTACCATGAGCCTGGTTCAAACGGCTTGAAGCAACCGATACTACCCCAATATCACGGCGAGTATCGTCAGCTGAGACCCAAAAGGACATGAAGTGTGTTTGATCTCCTTCGTAAACAGAAGCCTCAGAGGCCTTAAACCTCAGAAAATTGCATCTTGCCAGCTCGTGGCCTCAAGGTTCCCTCCCCCGCTTCCGGTGCCTTGTCATCCTGCCAATTTCCTGTGCGAGGGAACCCAGTACATCGTAAAGATATCTAAGGGCTACAGATACTGGGAACCAGGCATTGTAACATAGTACAGTTTGCAACCGAGACTCTTGTATACAAAAAATACCGAGAGAGATATGTGTATATATATATATAGGGTGAGTAAGGATACTTGTAAAGGTTGCTGAGGATCTTGTACTGGGCCTACAAGAAGGATGATATCAAGGAGCTTTCGGATTCTTATGGGATGTCGGAAGTTTCGTTTACGGATTGTTCGTAGTTGAAAGGGGTCTCATCTCGGGCAGACAGAACATGGGTTTGTAGGGGGTTCATCGGCTTTTGCAGCCGCTTCTTTGGTTCGGGAGTCGGTACAGGGCTCAGGGCTTCGGAACTCACACTCGGAGTGTCCAGGCGAGGCCAATGTCCAAACGTATGGCAGGGGAAATGGAAGCACCGGCACTGAACACAAAGGAAGGAGCGGAACAACGAGGCCTCAGGGCACATAGGGTTTTCGGGGCGCCCTCTCGGACATGCCAGGCAAGGTTCTTGGATGCGGTACTTGTCGGGTTTTAGTGTACAGGGTTTCCAGTTTTTTGCTTTTCTTGATTGAAGGATGGGGTTCCCTACTCAGGGGGAAAAAACTGAGTCTTGGGCTACCGGCCATCAACTTGAGTAATTGAAGTGAACCAGAGCCGGAGATCAATTCCGGTCTCCTAACCCAAACTCAAGATTTGGGACTCGTGTGCATCCCGAAACCTCCCAGGTCTGCAAGGAGGCACACCATGTTTTCTTAAGGCAGTGCCACCCGAAGTTATAGAGCCCTGTATTGTCCGTTGACAGCAGAGTCCAGGGACCGAAGCCTAATCCCGAATCCCTAAACGGCCCTAAACCCTTACAACCTCAGTGCTCCTTCGTAGGTGGAGCCGTCTACTTCGATGTGGATTCCGAAACCTCGAAGTTTTTGCTTTTCAGGTGTGATGGAGTTGCAGAGAGTGCTGGGGTTTAAAGGCCTTTAAGGCTTGAAGGCGTTTTGGGCCCAAGGATGGCTTTCGACACACACACTCGCACGAAGCTGGCATGGCAAGGAGATGGTCCGAGCTTGGGTTTAGGGCTCAGGGTTCGGGGATTGGGGATCTCTGATACTCGCACTCGGACAATCCAGGCAAGGTCCGCAGGTTCGGATGGTTCTTTGCCTCCGGCATTGCTAGACGACTCGCCGCTAGGCAGGAAACGCAGTAGATGCCGGTAGATTCGCATGCAGCATCGGTTCCACGACTGTTGCGCAGTATGGGTTAGATCTTGCGATTTAGGGCTTCCTTTTCCTGTCGTAGGGTTTTGGTTTATTTTAAAGCACCGTGATAAGGAGCCTCAGGAATAGCATCTCCACTTGTTCTGACCCCTACCCTACAGTATCTCTGCCACGCAGCCATGTCTCATTCCGTTCTGCCACTGGCCACCTGGGCTTCGTTATGCAGGCCATGTTTGTCCTGGTTGAAGAGCATCTTATTCAAAACAGGTGGCGGCCGGCGTGGGCACAAAGGGCCTAAAAAATTAAAAAGCAAACATGAGTTCTCTCACGACGGATTATGACGCAAGCATCTTTTCTGCGGAATGTTCCGCTCCGCCCTCCAGATGCTCGTAAAGCAATGACAGGGCCAAGTCCTTACAACTCCGGCCGCAGAACGATCACAGTAATTTGACAATCCTGCAGCCGATGACTGCATCTCTGAAACATTAAACCACCTAAATCCGTCTTTGGGCACGCCTCAACCCGGCCCCCGGCGCTCACCAGAAACAGTAACCCGCCCTGATCGCCACCCCCAAACCACAGTTCAGTGCCAAAGCCAGCCAGGAAGGCTGTAGCGCGCCCCATCCTCGAAGACATAAGCAGGGCCCAGTGAGGCCAGGACCTGCCCAAGAGCTTGCATCCAACTGTCACGAGTGACAAGACTTGTGAAAGCTGGAATCCGGGAGACATGGCGAACCCCTAAACCCCGCTAGCAGTTCTTGTCGACAAACTGGCTTCGAGCATATTAGCGTGCTGTCGTGCTTGCGTGTAGGACTCTGGAAATCGAATGACTCTCCGTCCTGAATGCATATTGTTTATGCAGCCACGGCACCTTTGCAGAGGGATTGAGGCGGTCCTGTGCACCGCATGGGACTGAGGAGGGAGCGGGGGGATTAAGGGGACCGCATTGTGAATTATCCTGAAGCTTTTTGCTTCTCACCTCATGTCCTAACACCCACAAGTTCAGGTCTGTCATGACCCACTGCACTAGTAGGCTCTGTGCCTGCGCCTCTGCTGTGTAGGGTCTTCAGAAGATATCGGGAGCTGGTCAAAAAAACGAAAAGCACGAGAGTACCCATAGGTTCATGCAGCGGCATCCTAGGTCCTAGCATTGTCAGTCTTTCTCAAAACCTGCCTCGACCACCGACGCATTGTCCAATCCCCCCTTGGGACAATCGCAGTGACCTCATGCGATTCTTGTATTGAGCATCGGGCGTGGGTCGTGGGGCTAAAGCTTTCGCTACTAGTACAGTTTTGGAGTACAGTACGTAGCAGCTAGAATGTGGCAAGTGTCAGCGGCAGAGTCAAGCTCAGCTCTGCGTTCTCGACCACTCCACCCGCAGTGCTTTAGAGTGGGGAGCTATGTACATGTAGCAGAAGAAGTGGCGTTGTTCACAAGAACCGGAGCTGGTTGGTCGCAGCATCGGGCTGGCTCTTGCTTTGCTGAGGGTGCCACTCTGCTCAGCCACTGAAATTAATCTGTCTGGTGCTTAGTAGGGAATGGGGGAATGGGTTAGAGGGACTACCATAAGTGACCTTAAGGGACTATCATAGGGATCCATTCCCACATTCCCTACTAAGCACCAGACAGTAATTGCGTGTAGGAGTTTAACAACTTGACATCCATGGGGTTTCAAAGTCTCACAACCCCTCGGCGCAGGTCTTGGCATGCTGAGCCACTGAACATGATAATATACTACGGTATACTTTAAAATACTATGCTAAGGCTACATATACTATACTATACTATTCCATATTAGACTATACTATACTCTAATATGGAAATATAATACAACATAAGGTAAGTGTACTATATAATAGACTATTGACTATTTTCACAGCGATGTATCTCTTCAGTGTCCGGCTCGCGGAGCACTGCGCAGCACCCATGGCTTTTCGGACTTACCAGGCTTCGTCCACCGGGAAAGGCCTTGGGGGGCCTTGGAGAATGCTTCGTCTGCGTATACTTGAAAGCCATAGAGTACCATATGCTATACGATATTATCATGTACTACATCAGATTATAATATACGACCATCAACAAAGCAAGCCTAGCATGGCAGATGCCGGCCGTTCTTGTAAGCATGGGAATCGAATTCTTACAGCAGTTTTGAAAGCTTTGAAGGCATAACCTCTGAGCTCTGCAGTGGGCAAGGACGGTTTTGGGACATGCGCGCGGCAAAAACCGGCTGCGCTCGGGTCGTACTGTGGGCCTGCAGGAACTGGCGACAAGCGAAAGCGGAGCGCGAGATGCATGCAAAGCGATCACAAAGACGCAAGTCGCAAGTTTAATCCATCAGCGGGGGCTCCCTGTGCAAGTCCCAGGCATGCGTTTGACTCCACAGCCACAGCTGGACAGTGCCGAAGCCTGGAGTCTGCACTCGGACTGGCCCATTGCATGAATAGGCTTGCAGCTGGGAAGGGGACCACTATGCACCACTCCTTCCACATTAATTAGCTACCATTTTCTTAAATTCTACGAATTACGACCCCACCGTGCAAAGCTACAGCCTTTCCCAGAAACGTGGATTCCATGTTGCATTTGGCATCGAAACGCTGGACGTCATGGACCGGGTTGCACATACCCTCAAACCGAAACACTGCAATACTACAATAAAGGATGAGCAAAGAGAGGAGTCGAAGCCGAAACGAACCTTGCCACTCTGACTGTTTAGACGAAATCCGAAAACTGAGGTGTTGGTGGGGCCGACACGTCTTGCCGCAAGCGCAGGCACCTGCAGCTCCCTGACACAGTTGGAATCCGCACACAGCGGAGTCACTGTGACAGGTCTTAAGTACGTCCGTGGCTCACGGACTATAACATCCGCTGCTGGGGTCAGCCGCCTTTAAACAAAACCGAACTGCGCAGCTCACAGCCGCACGAGTTGAGATGGCTCACGCGATAGCGAAAAGCAGCAATATGGTCTGTCAAGGAATTCTTGGCCACACCAGCTTGCATGGGTAGAGATGAGGCAGCCAGATCCAAGTGGTGACATGTTGCATCACGTGAAAACCGACTCACAGTCGGAAGCGCTTTAGCAGATGTTCAGGAATGTCGATCTTTCCTCCATGCTTCCCTTGGTCAATGGCCTGCCTGTATGCTATGAACAGTGCCCGAGCATCCGGATCACGAATCCCACGCTCGGACTCATCTGCGATCTTCTCTGCAGCTTTGTACAGCCTTCCGATCAAATCTTTTTCATGAATCGTCTCAGATTTGAGCATGTGCTCTTGAGCTCTCGCCAGCCACGTTGCTGGGTTAGCCGTGCCGCTCTGCTGGCTTTTCGGTCCCTTCTCGACAGTCTCTGCGGGCTCCTCCTGACAAGGGGACACCGACGAGGCGACGCAGGTGTTCCAGCAGACATAGTACCGGTCCCCGTCCAGGTCTCCCTCGGCAATGGATTCGGGTAAAGCCCGGCCCTTGCCGGAGAAGATGATTTCCCCAAACGGCCGCGACCGAAGTGCATCCCAGTCTTCCCAGCTCATGTCGCTGGGGCGTTCTGCTAGCACTCTCAGGAGCTTCCCATCTTGCGGCTCAATGCATGGGCATCTGGAGACGAAAACGCTGGGCACACCGTCGATCAAAGGCACATGGTCTATCAAGCCAGGAATGAAGACCTGGCCTTCCGGAACGGCAAAGCTTGGATCCGTCCCTCCGACCAAAAAGGCTTCTTGCCTGGGACGTTCCTTCTCAAAGGCAGAAATGTCGTTCTGCCCCACACCCAGTGCCTGCAGCAACCGCCGCACCATATCTGAGAGCTTCGGCCCCTGCTGCTTCAGCAAGCTCCTCAGCAGATTCCAATTGCGGCGATCCATCTCCGTACTGCTGCAAGAATCCATGCAAATTCGTGCAACCCGGTTGCTGCGTGGCTTGCCTCTTCCTTGGTTGGCACGAGACGCGATTCGGTTCTACGACCAAGTCAGGAATCAGAGCTGGTAGGGATCACAAATCTCTAGGAGGGGGTGTTTCGAAGGGCGGTGGAGCTTCGACCAGACTCGAAACATTGCTCGAGGAGTCAGACAACAGGCCGCGGGTGCCAGGTCGGTTCAGCACAGGTCAAACTTGAAGAGCTCAGACTACATTGCAACGTCCACAGATAAGTTCCTGGATCAGAGTCAAGGGTCTACCCAGTATTGCGTACAAATCCTGAGTTTTCGTTCATTCGCTTCTCCATACAGCAAACCACCCCACCCCGGCCACCCCCTGGTTGGCATTCTGGGGGCAGTTATTGCAGGCTTTGAGGTCCATCCCAGATTCGTAGGATAGTTGTTCTACACCTCAACAATCAAAAAGCCCACAAGCTAAGGCTCTCTGTGCCCAGCAAGCAATTGGCAACTTCAAAGCTCGTGGACGAGGGAAAAGTCTGCGTCCTTGGATCCAAGCCTATCAGTACGCAGCCTTCAGTGTTGTGATGTCAAATTTGGCACAAAAATTAGTTTGGTTCGTCTGTCTGGCTACATCTCTTGGATTCCGTCAACATGCCTCTACCACGAGTTCATGAAACACAGACTTCGGCGAATGGAACTTACGTGGCAGAAGATGCGATTTCGAAAATGTGTGCACGTCTCGATGTTGCCAAGGTTCACCACAACATAGACAAACCTTAGCAGCTCAAAGGACAGTAACATGCAACCGCCCAAACCCGTTCCCAGCTCCAGATCAAAATTATCTCCGAATCTCTGGGACTTCAGACATTCGCCAATCCTGAATAACAGTTTTACACTCCGAGTCTGAATTCTTGCCAAACCTAAACCCTGCACGCTTGTATGCAGCGCGTTGAGCTGCTCGCTCCAAAGAGCTCCACTTCTCGATTTGTATGTGCAGCTGGTTCGGTCCTAGAATTCCTCTACCGGCGTGCGTGTCACAATGGTTTTTACCGTGCCCTTGCGTTGTGGTTTCTATCCAATAAGTCTTAGAACTCAATCAATGTTCTACGAACCACACACAGTGTGACGCACGCTTTCTGTATGTCTACCATGAGCCGGAAAAATCTTAGATGCACAGAGCACGCATCTACTCTGTGAGACGCCGTATCTGCAAGCGTGAAGACTGCTAGGCCGATTGGAATATGCAAAAGGTAGCTTTCCTTGGGAGCGGATTGTTCCCCAGATACTTTGCTGCACTTCCTGTCAGTTTCGGAAACATACTTCGGGACTCGGGCGCTTTGGGTCTACCAGGAGTTCTGTTTCGTTGAGATTCCCTGGCGCTCGGCACTTCTCTCCCGCGTGCGCATTGACCCAACAACAGCATATCGTCTGCACATGCTCGATGTCACCAGTGAGTTTTGCCGGTTTTGCTACCGACCGAGCGTTTCTAGCAACTCCGGTTGGCCGCGAAGCAGGACCGACAATTCTTGAAGAATAGCATCAGAGCCCAGAGCCTGCACTTTCACCAGCACGCGAGAAAAGCTGGAGAGTCGTAGAGGCGGCAAGCTCCCAGGCTCCCGTGGACTCAACGACTAGAGGCACAAAACCCCTTGGTCGGGCGGTGTTGAGATACTCTCTCTGAGCTCTTCATTATTTCATATTGAGAAGCAGCCTGCCGCCGCGGGGGCATGTCACAAGTGCAGCAGCAGTAATTACCGGACAGCTTCACCGGCCGCTGTGGGAGCAGAAGGCTATTAATTAGTCTTCTGGACTTCTGGCCGCACCGGCACAGTGAAGAGGCCAGAAGGTCACCTAAAGCGCGTGCTTTCCTCCCCAGCTTCATGATCCCAGATTTAAGGCACCACGCGTCTGCTAGGTCGTATATAACTCATGACGAAAGTTGCGCCCTCCAGGCGAGTTCTTGCGACCGGGACAGCAAGGCAGGCACGAGCCCACGGCACGGGACTGTGGGATACTGTGGGGTGCCGATTCCAGCTATCAGTGTCGGAACGGGCTGTCAGTGTCCTCTGCTTCATGCCGTGAACCCTGCTCTCTAAACTTAAACTCCACAAAGCCTCTTACAGTACAGTGCCACCGAGCAGCTCATCGGAACACACCTTGGAGGGGCCCACCTGTGATTCGCATTGACAACAAGTTTCCCATGCAGTCTTGTAACTTGCATTCGATTTGCAAAGTCCACCTGTGTTTTGCAAGGGCCTCAAGCTACGGATCCAGACTGTATTGCGACAGCATCGCTTTCTCTCGAGGCTGGCCGCTGAACTCGCAAAGCTACGGCTGTTTACTGTTTCGTGCGGAGTGCGACCGTTTCCCCCCTAAGGGGCTCGAGGGGCTTTGGAGTTCCCGTTTAAGATTGGCGATCTCGGCAATGCTTCTGTTTCCGCTTCTTGCCTTTTTGCTCTGACAGGAAGTGAGAAGAGGATCTTGGCCTTCCGCATCGAAGGTGGCAGCTGGATCTTCTGAATATTCCTCAGATGACAGGCTGACTCTCCGAAATCCCAAAAGAGCCGCAAGTGCGAAACCTGAAATCCTCCGAAATCCCAGGGCCCCAGTTGAGGCAGTGAAGCGCCTCTGTCCAAGCGAGCCCTCCGAGATCGGAGGCGAGAAAGAAACGATCGAGACCCTGATAATGATGGTAATAATAATAATGATAACAACAATAAAAATGAATGATAATAATACCAATGATGATAACGATAAGCATGGTAATAGTGATAGCCGGACAACAAGGGAGCGCCTTGTTGCCATGGCAAACTTCGGCGCAGCTTCACTTGTTCATGTTGCAGCTGGGAGCATCCAGCTCCATAACGAGACCGAAAATCCCCAAAAGCCTGACCACCACTGTCCGAGACTCCTCCTCAGCGTCAGCATGCCTTTCAGAACGCCGAGGCGTGGTCCAAAAATCCTCACCTGCTCAACTTATGCATGCGCAAGACTCTTCTTGATTTCCTGTTTATAAACTTGGTTGCATGCATTTGTTTCTGTGCATCTGTTGACAAGTACATCTGGCTCCATCAACCCGTCTGATGCTAGGCTTGAAGAGGTAGCTCAAGCCTTCTCCACAGAGGCTTGGAGAGAAGGGTTTAGGAAGTGATTGATTTTATGATGTGGGTATATATATATATATATATATTAGCATATATATATATATATATACGTGTGTGTGTGTGTGTCTGTGTGTATGTATATCAACTTTATTTATGTATATATGCTTATATATGTACAGACTTCTTATTGCTAGTCATCATTTTTCTTATTCGCTTTGACGTGCCGCGGGGCGGCCTCATGAGTTTCAACGGCAAGCGGACCCGTCGTGCTAAATGGCTGTGGTTTTAGGGTTTAGGGTTTAGGGTTTAGGGTTTAGGGTTTAGGGTTTAGGGTTTAGGGTTTATGGTTTAGGGTTTCTGGCGCTCATACGCAGACACTCCCTGTGAGGCACATTCGTTTGAGCCTCTGGGAAACGAAACAACTGAGCCAATCCCCCGAAACCAAAACCTACAACAGAATGAGTGAGAGCAAGACCAGTGACCTTAAGGGTAACATGGCTTGTATTTGTTCATGCCCAGAGAAACTCGCACTTGCAGCAGCACCCTCCCCTTCGACCTCCGAAGAACCACCGTCGACGGGCATGGTGCAAGGATACATGCAACCTTTTCAAGAGCGGCCTGGATGGAGGTGATTCTGTCTGCATGCGGTCTCCCTGCAACCAGTTCGTACCTCAGTGAGCAGATCATACGTACTAGATATATCTCAGTACTTACGCTTGCGGCTCGGGCACGAGAAAACGGTTTTTACCACGATCACAAGGCAAACCTTCTAGCTGAGCCTTCTAGGCAGTCGTTAGCGCTTTTCAGATGTTCCACCGGCTCCTTCCGCAAGCTCTCTCTGTCTCCGGCAGTCTTCTAATTAGCTCCGGTCGGCTCAGAGTTTGGGACCCCAAGGTGGCTGGGGCAGAAGACCCAACACAAGGCCGCACCCCAAGTCGTTGCCGGCAGGAAGGTGCGCGGAAGCTTCCCGCCAGCACGAACCGTTCGAACCACGACTCCCACATCCCCAACCACGGGACCCCAACGAGGCCATGCACGGCGCGAAAAAAATTCACAAGGCGGGCGTCACTGTTTTTGCAGTTGGCGCTGATATCCCGGCTGGTATCCTCCTTCCTGCTGGACACTAATTACTGCGTTTCTGGTCCTTGCTCTTGCCCGTTCGATGATGCTTCTATACTTCTATATCTTAAGGTTTGTCCCACTTGCTCAAGATCTGCAGATGTGTGCCTTGATTAATTACCACGTGTTGCTGGTAGGTACTGTTAGTTACTAACTGACTTACGAATCTCCCTTTCTGCTGCGACTACAACCGAAACAATACTACGAATACCAGCTTTAACTTTAGTCTGACGAGGACACGAAGTCCACGACATGCTGCCGCTACTGCTGCTACTGCTAAGATCGCTACTGCTGCCGCTCCCAGGACGACGACGACGACGACGACGACTACTACTTCTGCTGCTTCTGCTGCTGCTGCTGCGAAACCCTGATATTACTATCTGTGAAGGATCTCCCCCCATGGGTGGCATGATATTGCACCGAGGTGCAGCAGCTCTTGTGGGATGAAGCCGCAGCCGCCGGACCTGAGGCACGGGGCCCTGGTACTAACCTTTCTCTACGATGTTAAAAGGATCTATAGAGTTTCGAATTCAACAGGTTTCTCTAGTCAAGCCGCATAAAGCACGAGTCTGCCCATCTGTCCGGGAATAATGACAATGACGTGGCATGTTTCACTGGCAAGTGTCATTGTTTGTATAGGAACCAAGCCCGTGGCTCACTTGAAGGCTGCGGCTCGGGAATATCCTCGAAGTGTTCAGCGGTTGACTTGTAGACGGTACCTGGCTCCAAACTCGCTGCCAACATCAACGTATGTTGCCTGTGAACCTGGGGACAGCGCCTGCGCTTTGCATAAGCTCCAATCTCGCCGCAATCTTGCCTGCAGGCGGAGGTTTCATCGCTGGTGCTTGGCTAGAATCGCTTCAAGCCGCCCCCAAACAAAAGAAATTATTTCTATCCGGTTTCGAGCTGCATGAGAGCGGAATGGAAGCGAAATCAGCCAGACGTTCAAGCTCGTGTTGAAGTGAGTGCTCGCCCTGCGCCACATACATCATGCGCAGCTTCTTCTTCTTGCCGCCCCAGAACTGAGTGCCGTCGTCTAGAACTTTGGTGGACAGCAGGTGGTACTCCTGCCTTGCAGGGTTTCGATTCCCACGACAGTGGGTTGAACCGAACCAAGAAAGCCGAACTGGTCAGCCAAAGATGCCCCCCAAGAGTCCGCGCCGGTGTCGCTGACGGTGGATTTTTGATTGATCGTGATAGTGCTTCCTCCAGAGGCGGCAATCGACGTTGTCCGAAGTAGCAGATGATGAAGCATTCTTCTTCCTTCTCGTGGGGTGCCTTCAGAACGAGTGGCTTTGCCAACATTCGCGCTGAGCAGGCTCAAGGTGCAGTCTACATGTTGCAGGTCTACCGTGCAAGCCAGGAGTGCAACCCGGCATGCTGCCTGAAAGGTGATGGTTTTGATGCCACTCCAAAGCCACTGAGCCAACGGTGCTTCTCCGGTGGTGTCAATTGGCAGAGCGCTCTCGGAGAAGCCAGACACTCGCTGGAATGCTTGGCCACCTGGGCTGTTAAAACCGTACCAGCAGAAAATACGGTTGCTGGATGCACTTCTTCTACACCGAAGACTGAAAAAGATGCCTGATTGCACAGCCACCACGGCCAGCTCGGCCGCGATCTAAGGTAATGACGAAAGCTTGCTTCACGCACGCCGTTCCGCCAGAGTCCAGCTCTATGTGATACATATTTTCTGTGATGCTGCTGATGGTGCCTTCCGGGGCAGGGGCTTGATGCCAAACATGTCAACCGAGAGAACAGACCGTCTCAATTCACAGTTGAAACATGTTGAAACATCATGTAGACCACTGGTTAATAAACTGCCTCCCATTCAAGGGGATTGCAGTAGGGATCCTGATGTTAGGGCTCCAAAGAAATTGGGCTCGTCAGTCGGGAGTCTACAACAGAGAGCATCCAAACCACGATAGAACCGTTTCTTCTCCAGCGCTCTCAGTTGAGCTACTTCAAGTCCCTTCAATTGCTCCCGCCCTGGTTGTCCCGGAAGGCTCGGATGGGCAACAACACAAAACACTCTTAAAGTGCAGCGGTCCTGGCCTGTTTCTCCTGAATGACGGCCACTGGTAATCGCGACAGAAGTCTGCGGCTGCAACCGCCCAGTGCCCTCCCAGCTGTGAGAGGAGCCTTGGCAGACTGGAGTCTTCGATACAAGCAGTATGCGGCACTAAACTGGAGAGATCAATCTAGAGCAAACGCCAAAGCACGACAAATGTGTGACGAGGCTCAAGGGAAGCAATGTTCTCAAAATGAACCCACCAACCCAAGCTTGAAAGCCCAACACCTCGATGTCAATGGGTCTCTTGCTCAAAAGGCCCTTACCCTTAAGGCTCCTAAATCCCATCTTGTTCTGCTGCCTCTGAAGAGATTTCGGCCATCGGCGACTGACTTCTCTGGGCCAAGCTCCTCAGTGGAAGCCTGAGCAGGAAGGCAGGCAGGAGGCAGATCGGTCGGTTGATGGCTCGGTCAGTCTGGGTCGTTGAGTTGGCCGGTAGCGTGGTTAGGTCAGGTTAGGCTTAGGTAGGTTAAGTTAGGTCGGGCCAGGTCGTTCAGAAGGTTGGTTGAGGTTGCTGGTAGACAAGTGGTGGTCGTGGATGTTTTGGCCGTCGTGGTGCTCTATCACTGTTTGGGAATCTACGCTGGCGTACTTTCCAGGAAAACAGGAACAGTAAAAACGTACCTGCCTCGGGCTCGCTCTCCCGAGGTTTGACATTCGTCTGCATCAGTTGAACCTGAAGAAGACCATCCTATTCGGAGTTAGAGACTTGTTGACTCTGGGCTTCTCGATGGGACCGGGGTTGCTGGGTCAATGACCGCGGTCGCTCCTAGCGAGTAGGCTTCCCAACAGTGAGGACAACCGTGCGCATCGTGCGCAACCTTAGGCACAAAAAACATGAACCTTCTTGGAGAATCCCTTCCACTACCCGTTTTCGATTCGGGCCCGGAGTGAATCAGTGAAAACCGAATACGCTCTGCCTGCCTTCTTTCCACCATCAAGCTCCACTTCCACCTTCTTGCTCATGACTTTGACAACCCGTCCTGCTAGATGTTTGTCCCTCCATGCACCATGTGTTCGTCCAATTGAACAGCGGCTGCAGTGCCCATTCACTGGCGTATCTGCTCTTTCCAAACTGGCGTCAAGGGATGTGAGGGCCAAACACGCAGTGTCCAAAGGTACGACAAACCGAAATCCGGAATGTAATCAGGCCCTGCTCATGATGGCCTACTGGGATCTTGGCAGGTGTCCTTTTCTGCCTTTGTAAGTGCCTCCAACGATATCCACAGCAGCTTCGGCGCACAAAGAGCAGGTGGTTTCTTCATGGCCGGCATCGCCTGAGCAGTGAGACGATCAAGCCAGGGTCCTATAAGCTCGGCACTGAAGCTTACGACCTCACACTAGTCACTAGTTTAACAGAAGCCGTCCATGAGCTGAGCTTTGGGTCGAAGAATTAAGCCAGGATCCACACAGCCAACAACGCACGTCGCAAGCGCTAAGCTATGACTACTTGGGGCCAAAGCCTGTCTCGGAAGGGAGCTGCTCGGCCATTGCAAGCCGCTGCTGCGAACCAAGCTTCTGTTAGCTCCTCCCGCTCCTCCCTCTGGTCTGGCAACCCTTGACATGGAATCCCCGATGATGTTTGTTCGCGCACACGCCCGGCATATGTGTTGATTAACCGCACACTTTGGGCGAAGTCGTCTGTACAACGAAAACAACTCGTGATTGTCAGCTTTACCACGCAGATGCACCCAAGGCTCCAAGCCACCGTAGGTATCAGTCACTTTGAAACCAGCCCCTCCCCCCATCACAAAAAAAAAGAACGGCAACAGGTGCAAGATTCAGCACTGGCAAAAAAGAAACGACAAACAGAAGCCGAATGCACGATTTGACTGCAATGTGCAACGATCGCGAGAAACACTTTCGGATGTGCTTTCCTAGAGTCCAACACCTGCTCTACACCCACACCCACCCCAAGTCCCCAACCCCTCCCTCGCATCAAGCGTTTTCTTACGGCGTCTTCATTAGAACCGGGTTTTCTGGTACATCACACTATAATAAAGGAACCCTGAGAAATAATGCTGGAATTATTCAGGCTTGTGTATTAGCACCTTCCGCGACGACGAAAGGCGCGACTTCCAGCAAGAGCAAGCAACCAGCAACCCTACAATAGCCGCATCTATCACCAAGTAAATTTGACATTGAGGGCGACGATAATGGCAATGCCTCGGCTGGTGATGGTGACTTAAGGTTCATATGGTCTCTTAGGCTACTTTGCTACCCCACCAGAGCAAAGAGAAGCGGTATGCACCCTCACGTTGCTCATAGGGATTCGGAGTCCGAAATCGTGAGAGTTCGATCCTTCGCTAGTCATGAGCACCCTGGTGAATCCCTGGCTGTTGCTAGTGAGTTTTTTCTACGCCCCCAGCCTTCCTACGACTTAAAGCTGTCATCAAGGAGCCAAACATGGCGCAACATCAAGCGGAAACCCGGGCGGGGAACTGAACAGCAGCTTGCATGTCGAACCAAGCGTGCTATGACCCTTGCACTTTTCTGGAAAACTGTTGCGGCACTCGGACAGAGAAGCGATTTCAAACAACGGCCTATGGCTAATGGAACGAACACACGGCCAAGGCAGTCCTCCTTCGGAGGGTTCCTGCCCTTTCGAGTTGGGAAGGTGATCCCAAACACGGTGCCTTGCTGTACAAAGGAGGTGGGGGGATAGTATATTATACTTGCTGCTGCTCATGTAGAGTGGGTCTGGTACAGGGGCCGAGCAGGCGGCAGGGGATTGACACCTTCTGAAGAGCTTCCGATCATCGCTTAACGTGGCGTGCCGAAGATGCTCCTGCAATTTTCTGCCGGATGACATAAAAGGTGAGACTGCTTTTACATGCTGCAGCCCGAAAAGGGCATCCCAGAGCCAGGCAGTTAATCGTGAGGCTTTAGCTACGCTGTCCGCGCTGGTCCCCATCCCAAAATCCCTTCCTTCCTTCCTTCCTTCCTTCCTTCCTTCCTTCCTTCCTTCCTTCCTTCCTTCCTTCCTTCCTTCCTTCCATTCCTCCTTGAACCAGCCGAAAAACTTCTGGGCCCCAAGTTTGTCCTTCTGGGCTTCCAACACCACTGCAGGGAGCCAAAACTAGAGAAACTCTGAAAGGATATGAATACGAATATCCGAATTCTGGTAAGCTTCGGTTCTGACAGTGGTGGCAACAGCTACGGTGACATGGCGGAAATGCTGGCGATGGTTCTGCCTGTACTGATGAAGGCAGCGTCAAAGGATGCCAACAATACTGGCAAACAGCCACAGGAAAGGCAAAAACACATGCTGCAGCGTGATGTCCACCTGGCTCAGGCGCAGAGAAGGGCTATCGAAATTCTAGGGCCGCATGGCTCTTCCACCGATGGCACACCTGGAGCGACGGAAAGTGTACCGCTTAATCCAAGATCTAAAGACACTGGCAACACCTGACAGCCGCTGGATGACACTGAGAATTCCACATCTAAATCCAGCAGTAAAACTCTGTAGCAACATGAGGCCCCAATACGAGACAGTACCCAGTGAGCAAGTGCCGATGGCAAAACGCATCCAAGAGTCAGACAATTATGATGCAACACGAAGGCCATCTGCCATGGCACGCCGAGAAGAACACATAACTGCATTGATAGACTACATATACTCAAGATCACGTAGCCACAGGACATGGCAGACAAAACTGCTCACTGGCGTGCGAGCTGAGATCTAAATCTAAACTTGACACCGGGAACGCATTGGATTCCACGTTGATCCCCGATTTACGTCCTTCAATTCGCTACACGCATATCCCGGCCCGGGGTGTTGGGGTTGGGCTCCGAAGCTATGCAGATGCTCCTGCACAGGGAGTGTGGAAATCGTGACCCACACGAGCCAAAAACCAAACGGACACTCAGACGAGAACTAACAGTCGAACACAAAGGCTCCCAACACCCCTTCAAAGCTAAAGCCTAAAGCTACTGATTGAAACCCTTCAAGTGCTTTGCCCCGACGCACTGGTGGATGTCATTCGGGCCAAATTTTGGGAGATTCCGGCCAACTCTGGACTAGGAAGTGTTGTGATACGGCTGATGGACAAAATCCTGCATGACCTTATATACCTAAACTATGGGATTTATGGTACTATACTATATTTGGGTCATGCAGAATTTTGTCCATCAACAGTATGATGGAGAAGGCTTTGCAAATGAGGATTGGGGCGACAAGAAGCCTTCTGGCTCTGTCAGGTTTCCATTGGGCCGATTGAGCTAGGGCTCAGGCTTCCAGCTAGTTAAAGCCTGAATAATTACAAACAGTGTCCCCTACGTTTATACTATAAGTATAGTATGACATACCCCCAAACCCTCTTCGAAGCATTGAGACCTCTATTATATGAGACAGCTCTGGACGTCTCATCCGCGACGGACGGCAAACACCAAACTGAAGCATCCAAGTCTCCATGCGTGTGGTTGTTGTTCCTCGGTGGCTCACGGCTTTGAGGGCTTTCGGGGTGTTCCCCTTCCAAAGGATCCCCTTCCTGCAAACTTAATGCAGATTGCAGGCCGGCAACATGCATCACAACACTCATCTTGATAGGCACAGTACCACTGCAAGCGGCATACCAAGACAAAAATCAGCAACTGCTTAACCAACAAGTAGGATGAGCAATTTTTAGCGAGGCGCCATGGGGCGTTGAAGTGCATGGCGCTGCCACTATGCCTCGGGCAAAAGGGAACTGTTCAAGGGATGAAACCAATGCATGCCCCAACCATGGCTGGGATACATCCACTTGTACGTCTTCCGGCCAGTGCACTCCTGGCGCCGTTCAGTACCCCCGGATGTTCCAAGCAGGGACGGCTTAGCCATGAAGGCAAACCACAAAACCGTCGTCCTCCCCGCACGTCTCGTACTTCGAGCGCGAGTCTGTGATGGTTTCACAGAGGATCTGCCGGCTGGAACCAATGGAGTAGCAAACCTGACATTGCAAAGCTCAGGTCCTTGTGTCCGAACTGTGGCCTGATTGCGACCGAGGCACCGTGCCCGTGCACTTCATGAAGCTGCAGGTACAGTTGATGCCGCCCTTCTGCCCGGCACCGTAGATGTCTCGGTGCTGCCTGAGATGTGCGACATGCAGGTTGGGGAGACAAGGCCCGCTGTGGCCACCGCAGACTGCTCACTAAAGAACCATGGAGACGCTGTACCAAGCTGCTTATGTGACGACTTGTGGTTTGGATGAAAATTGAGCTGGATGGCCGTGACACCTCGGAAAACATTGGCCAGGTCAGGTGGGCATCGAGGAGACACTCTGCCATCTCACGTGCGACCCGTGCGGCGGTAGCCATACTCCTGCTCAGTGTGCGCAACCAGCGCGCGGATCCCCTAGCAGGATGGAGATGAAAGTGCGGACCCTCGAAATCCTGTAGCTCCCAACATTGGAACTCGGGCCGAGATGCATGGAACAACATACAGCACGAGTAACTTTACGAGTAGTTACGAAACGCCTTTGAGAAGCGCTTTGAGAAAGGATCTCGGAACTGGAACAGATTTCAGCTGCAGCCTCGAAGTCCTGAGCTCCTTTCTAAGTCCTTTCCTACACCGCGAGCGCAGACTCCCGGGCTTTCGAGGTATGCGCACGATGAGACGGTAGCGTTCTTGGCAGCAAGCCCTTTCACCCAAATTGGCACCTTGCCCGCAGCGCTCTCCTGGTTGTCACGCTCCAACACACCGACGATGGCAGTCGGCGACTGATTCCTTAGCTGCCGCGAACTTAGAGCTCTTTCGGACGAGGCCATGAAAGCATTCGCGGCCAGCTGCGGTTCCGGATTGTATCCACCAACTCAGAAAGAAGCAAAGTCAAGGTGATTTGATGCCGCTTCGGGTCCAGGCCCTTGCCCCCTCCCCCTCGAGATCGCAAGCATGACCCGCGGCTCTTAACCGTGTTGACGTATCAACTCGAATTCCCTTTAGCGGCTGTCTGCACCGTGTCATATTGGGCTTGTCTAGAATCCGACATGGCCAAGAATCTAAACAGCGCGACTTCCTAGGATTCGTGGAAAAAGTCCGACAGATCTGCGAAAAGGTGATGGAAATTCAATTGTCCTGTCGGGTATCCGGTCCTCGTTCGTGAGGAGGAACTTTCCACCTTGAACGAGTCGAAGAAGTCAACACCCGAATCAGCTTTCTGTTCTCTTGTACCTATACATCCCACAACCCAAACAACGAAGCCCTGACGAACCGGAAATCCCGCAGCCTATATAGAACTCTCCTTTGTGTGCTGAGGATCAGACGGAGCTTCAGCTCTGAAGGCATCGAGCAAGCATGCACGGGGTGGGTGCTAAGACAAACGAGGACGAGGGTGATGATGTGCACGAATCATGACTGTATGACCAACCACCAGGATTGCCACCTGAATCGTCAACAGCAAATGAGAGTGGAGATCAGAAGCACCTACCGCAACAACCGTTTCTCAGTGGAGAACCCGCAGGTGGGCCGCAGAAGAAAAGAGCAACAATTCGAAAATTGAATCAGAGCAGCCACAGACAAAGCAACAGCCTTGCAAATCGTGTACAGACATGTACTGTAACAAAACAGATAGTCATTCCCTGCGCCAAGCCGCCCGACTTCCACACACAGCCCTCGGGTGCGGCCAGTGCAGCCTTGACCAGGGCCTGCAGAAGCTCGCAAGAGGCCGGGGATCTGACTGTTTCGAGTTTCGACGCTCGCAGTCTCACCAGGAAAGAGTTCAAGAAAGGCTTCGATGCTGCGTGACCCCATACGCTTACATCCAACGAACGAGTGCAGATACGAAGTATCATAGAATTCCAGTAAAGCATCACCGACAGCTTGGCAAACTCCGTCTATTTTTGGCTCTGTCGAGGCTACGAGCTACGATGCAAGCACGGCCAACCCTGTTAGAGAAAGAACGTCCAGCTGAGTCTGCACACGTCCTAGACCCAGTTACTGAAAGGTCCAAAGGCCAGGCTTCTTCTGTACAGCCCAAGGCCGGCTGAGTTGCCAAAACAGACGCGGTTTCATTGCCGCTTGAGAAGACACAATTGTCTCACCAGAGTTTCATCCGTCTTCGGTAGATACTCGTGTCAAGGACCCTCTGTTCTTATTGTGGGGTTGTTGGTGACTTAGCCCCGCTAGGCCACATTGATTTAAGAAACCAATGGCCTCCTCTGGTTGTCGGTGCTCTTGGCTTAGAATATATATAAAGCCCCCGACCACATGAAACGTGCCACGTCTTTCGGGCTTCAGCATTTGAGGGTTTGGGATTCAGGAGGGGAGGTGAGGTGATGAGGACGTGCCGTCGAGCTCCTGTGCATTGTGCGACTATCAAGCTGGAATCCTACTTGCCCGTCGTCGCTCTCGCGCCCAAACCCACAGCCTGAAGAACTTAGATGCCTAAATTACAAAGTGCCATGTTGCTCCACAGCCGAGAGAAAGCAGAAACTTCCTTCTAATTCGACATGCCCATCTTGTGATATTGGGGTGCCCTGAGCCCTGGGGGGCTGCTGGCCTGGAACAGCCATTGGTCCGGCGCGACCTGGCCTGAAAACAGCGGCGGAGACCCTAGGAGGATCCAAACCCCCAAACTCAGAGCATCGCGCCAGAACTACCTACTGCAGTGCATCTTCCGAGGAGCCTAGAAAATGCTACGTCAGGGAGAAAGGCCCACGAGATCCGTTCCCGAACCTCCAAACCGGGGTCCCAAAGAACCCAAAACCTGGACCGCTGAGCCAAGAACAGGTGTCGGTATTCAGGTTCTTTTATTTTTTGAGCGCCCTTTCCAGGATTTAGGGTTTCTGTTGCAGGAGGGAAGGATTTAGGTTGAGGGTTAGGGTTTAGGGCGTAGGGGCATCGCATTCATAGTGACAGTATCTAAGGCAGCCAAGCAAAAGCGAGATTTGTCGGTTACCCAACAGCAAAAGACACTAAACAGCAACAACAGCAGCAGCACTCATCGCAGTAGCGGCCATAGGAAAAGGACAAGTACAGCAGATGGGGGTAATGATGACAATGAGCTGGCGATGATGATAGCTGCTCATGATTGGGACAATGGTGGTGGTGCTGATGGTGATGATGACGGCGGCAGATTAATTGCTGCCAAAACGATCGTGTCAGTTGTGAAATGGTCACCGAAGCGATTGCAAAACAAAAACGAAGACAATGAGTGCTCAGGGATAAACACGATAGCTGTAAGAATAGCAAGTAGAATCTGGGTAGTGCATGGGGCCTCTTGAACACTGAAGCTGAACCCTGAATCCTGGAAACTACGACCCTGCAAATGGAAGCCCTGGAAACCGTAAAAACCTAACACCCTCACCCCCAGACCCTAAGCCACAAAACCTTCGCTTCACCGAAAGGCCTGGGGCTATCCCATGAAGCGCATCTGCCACAGAGTCTGACAACACCTGGGCAAGAACTTGGGCACTCTCAAAGGGCTGTCGCTGATGCGAGTTGCAGCCACAACTGCACTGGTGATACCTAAACCTTTCTAGTAGCACTACGGCGAGTCATGGCAACGAGAACTACCATACTCTCAGCCGCAATGAGGGGATCAATGATCGCATCAGGAACGCCAGCCCCCAGAAGAGCGAGCGTAACGATTCGGAGGGTTAGTTGAAGTTGGTCCTCGCAGACTCTGGGGGTAGGACCAGAATTCGCCGGGCTAGGAAAGGCATTCTTGCAGAAACAAGCTAGAAAACGCTATGCTGAATAATTCTAGTTTGAAGTAACATTTGCCTGCTTCATAACTAATCTTCAGGTTCGACACTAGATAATCAGTCAGAGTACCCTGTACATCAGACGATGGACTTCAAACTGATTCTTAACATTCACCCCTCAACCCTAAACAATTCCGGGTGCAGGCAGGGGGAACACTTCCTCCCGGCCTCACAAAGCTCCCCTGGCTGTGCGGAGCCCACGTTGCAGGGGCAGTCCTGATCTGTTTGTGCGAAGATCTGCGTGAGTTTTTATGGCTTAGGTCTTTTTGCCTCCCACTACTTCGCCACAGCCAGCCTGCATTACAGCGGTTGAGTCAGAGAGCAGAACTGAAAGAGTCGAAAGAAACCTGCAGGATTAGTCTGCCCAACAGCGTCTGCGCCAGCCTGACACCATCCATGCTATTCGGGAGCGCAGCCTGCCATGTGACCTGTACCAATTTTACTGTGCATCCCAATGCCATGTGCGTCGCACGAACGTTTGTCCGGTGAGGCCTTCTTCTTAAGCATTTTAATGCAAGCCTTTTCCGACAATGTTCCAAGACATTGTTGAGCCTAGGCTCCGCGGAGCCGTCGCAAAGCTGAACCACCTCCTCAGCCCCGCCTGGTCTCGCAGCAGAGGCTTCTTCAGCTCTAGGCTGGTGTCAGAAAGACTTGGATCAGACGGGCAATCCTGGAGTCAGGTTGAGAAACCTGGTGGCTTGCTTTTCCAGATCTCGCAACTCGGCACGGCCAGAAGAGGTCTGAAAGAAGCCCAGTACGTCGAAGGCTGGCTCCTACTTCTACTACTACTTCTACTGTACTACTACTCCTTCTCTCTACTACTCCTCCTAGTACTTGTCCTCCTCCTGCCGCCTGTTCGGGTTACTGCTACCCACTGCCACTGCTCCTCCTCCTGCCTGCTCCTACTCCTGCTACTGCCACTCCCACTGCTGCTGCTGTGAATCATTAGCAGCGTGAAATCAACAACTACACTGCTTGATTAAGATGCCGCCATACTACTGCCTCACGAGCTTTCGGTGTAAACTGGACGATGTTTCGGCTCAGTCCTCGTCAATCATGGGCACAAAATGTCTAGGTGTGTAAATTCCTGCTTGACCACCGCACCCCTACAAACCTACATATCTATGCGCAGGTTCCACCGGCATAATCTCTCGCTCTCCCTGCCGCTGCTTACATGCAGAATGCCGACACGCACAAGTAATCACCTACCTGCATTTGTTTACATGCAGACCTGCTCAAATGAGATGAACAACGACTCAGCGCACACCGGAGCCAAGGCACTTGGAATCGTGACGTGCTTCCACTTCATGAAATGGTTCAACTCCTCCATGCGAAGGCCGACCGAACAGGTTCCTACATCTAACCTATAACCAGAAGTTCCTTCAGATGTGCCTGCTATGCAGGCAGTCACGCAGTCTGTGTGCCCCACGCCTTACGCACCCGTCTCCACCCACGAAAACAGATCTAAAGCCCTCTACATCCTGCTTGTGGATTGTGTTCTGGGTAGTTTCTGGGCTCGAGCAGAGACTTGGTTTGAAGCTGGTGAAAGAGTTTCAGAACTTCATGAGGGTTGTCCGAACTTCCTTATTCTAGAAACTCCTCCGCCTCCGCCCACCTTTGGCGTCCCTTGATGCAGACTCGTGAACATGCTGGCCTTTCTGCGGGCATATTGCCCTTGCGCGCAGCTTTCGGCGCCCTTTCGCGCTCTTTTCGACCGGAGTATGTGGACTCTTCCCTGTGTGCACCTCGCAGACAGTGTTTTCCGAGTCTACGAAGCTTCGTCCTCAATACCATTCAATACCCCACGAGATGTCCTTAAGATGCAAGACTTAGTATACTTGCTGCTGACCACAGGGATGCAACAAGCATTCGACTGCTATATAAGTCTGTTGAATAGAACATGCATAGTACAGGGGCGGCCTTGATGATTAGCAACTGTATTCCCTTTTAGTTCCTGTTAGAAGTAGAGTATGATATTTACCTCATCCTCTTCTAAGTGCTAAGAAGCCCCTTTTTTGCATGCCAAACCTGGACTCTGCTTTCCATAGTGAATCAATGCTGACACATTCCAGCCCCAGAGATCCCCCATCTTCCATCCACTAGGGTTTCGACTCACACACTAGGGTTTAGGGTTTAAGGTTTCGGGTTTAGGGTGCAACAATACACTTTGCAGAGCCGCGCAACCGGAGGAAATTTAGCAACACAAGAAACCATGCGAGTAAACTCCATTTCGCGAATCCTTCCGCCACCCCTTTCGCACGCCAGGGCTTTTCCACATCCCTTTGTGTTGTGAACTGCGTATAGACGTCATCTGAATACTTCGATAACCTATACTGCATACTGCCGAGAACCACGCTCGTGGCCTAAAAATTGCCTCCAAGAAAACCGGGCCTCACTTGCGAGACAGGCCGTTCTGTAAGGCTGTAAGGATGCTGGGCTCTTGTATTCAGCATGACCTTGCGTGGCAGTTCTCATGACCCTGATGCGGAAACAGCACCTAAATGCGATGATGGTCATCGTAAGTCTGCTCTGCTCTACCCAGTACTACTACTCTCGATCAAGGCTTAGGACTGCGTGATTCGACAGTCCTTGTGCTTCAAGAAGGTGCCCTCCTTCGGCTGCATGGACTTGAGCATTCCTTCGCTGTCGGAGATGACCAGGGCAATCATAATGACACGACTAACCAGGGGCTCCAATGTAGTTCCTTTTTGTGTCTGTTATGGTTTTTTGGTAAGGAATTGTAGTATACTATCCAAAAAGGAACTACATAGGAGCCCTTGGGTAACCACCACTACGATAATCATGAATCATAAAGCTGGTTAGAAAAGCATCTGAAGAAGCCTGGCTTGCACGGTTTGCTTTGTGGTTGCCTGAACCGTCAACCCCAGAACCCACCACTTGCCTTAATGAGAAACCTGCAGGGCTCAGTGTGCAGGGAGCGCTCTGCAGTGTCGACTTGCTTAGAGTTTGGGGCTTAGGGTTGGGTGAACAGCTTGGAAAACTTGAGACGGGCTTGGCCCGAAACCCCGAAGGCCACGGCAACTACACCTCGCGTCGCTCTCCTGAAAACTCAAGGCCCTGACTGAACCACAAGAGTTTCGCGATATGGACTTGGAGGAGCTTGCACCTACCAGTACTCTCCTAGTTGCGACGATTTGCCAGCTTACCAAAGTCAAAGTCAAAGTCATCAAGGGCGACTTGCTGCAACGCGTTTAACTGAAATTTGATTGTACTAGATTGTATAACATCCTATGATATACCTATAGCTTGCTATGAGCTCTATATATACATATGGGTAGTTCTATAAATCAGGGTCCTTTTTAGGGTCCTGTTTATAAGAGTGCCGTACTATATTGGGGATCCAAAAAGGGACCCTAATTTAGAGAACTACCCGTATACAAATATAAACACACGTAAATCCGTGTTTGTGTGGGGTCGCGCACCCTAAACCCTAAACCCTAAACCCTAAAACCCTAAATAGGAACCTCCTTTGGGGTTCCTAAGGTCTGGGTTGTAGAACCCTTCACAAGCTGACTGTAGCCCTCGCTGGCGACCTAGGCGCGGCTCGCCTGGTCGATGAGAGCAGCCTGATGAATGGATATGGGGGCCTTTATAATTAGAATAGGGTTTAGGCTTTAGGGTTTAGGGTTTAGGGTTTAGGCAGCCTGATGAATGGATATGGATATGGGTAGTTCTCTAAACTAGGGTACCTTATTTTGGGGTCCTTAGAATAAGGATACTACTATTTAAAGGACCATATTAGGGGACCCTAATATAGTACCCTAAATAGTAGGATCCCTATTATAAGGACCGCAAAATAAGGTACCCCTAATTTTCGGAAACTCCCATATAGGGGCCTTTATAATTAGAATAAGGTTTTGGGGGGCTCCTTATTATGAGTCTAAAAAAAAGGACCCAAGTCCCGATTCTAACTATAAAGGGCCCTATATTAGCTTGGGGCTGCTCTTGGAGGCACTTTTTTTCGGGTTTAGTGGTTTCTTGTTTGCCTCCCTAAACCCTTGAAGGGCAGCCCCAAGCTGCCTGATGCAGGGTTTAGGGTCTAGGAGAATTGTAGTTTTCGTTCCTTCTTAAGATAGCAGACTATACCCTAGTTTGAAAATGAATGAAGAAGATGTCACTAAGTTCCGTTCATTAGATATGTCTGCTTTGTCGGGTTCTTAGCTTCACACGGCTGCGCCTGATGGCACCGCGCACCCCGAGTTAAGCGAGGCCCACCAACCCTTTCAGACTGGGACATTAGTACTATTGAGTTACTATTGCTGCTACTATGGACCATGTGATACCATGTGGAAGTTCATCTTGTTTTTAAGTGTACCAGCACCAGCAGCACGGCCTGCACCTCCCTGCTAAACAAGCATGCTCAACATCAGCCAGTGTGTAAGAAGCTTTTTTGTGGGCTTCGGGGTGTCGGTTTCAGGACACGAAAGCCCGGACTTGGAGTCCATCGATCCCCATCTATCCCGAATCTGGAACGTCCGTCGAGAAGAGCAACTCCACATCTGCAAACACTACAGATAAGTACTACCGAAACGTGCTAAGCTCACCGAAAAGTCAAAAAACGTCACACATTGCCAAACTTGCTGGCACCTCGACTTTGCGCATTTTCGATCGCGAAATCTGAGCAAGAAGGCTGGAGTAGCGGCCCCGCTCCATGGCAGATACAAGTGCCTGCCGGTCGTTCGAGGCAATGCTAGAATTGTCGTTTACGGCGTCGTTGGGGTGTTTCTCCGACCGGTCCGTCGACTGGGCGTCTAGTCCGGCAGGTGCTCTGCAAGGTTGCTCGATTGAGGTCTCAGGGGCTGCGGGTCTGAGATGTTGTTTCTGCATGCCCGTTCGGCTTCGGTCGACCGTGGCCAATATTTACAGGACAGTGCACACACATGCACCAAAAGGTGCGGGCGGCCTAGTCTTGGCTACGAAAAACTATTTCTTCTGTGTCTCCAGTGCTGCTTAACCTGCCGCCCTGTGGGCCTGCTCCTGCGCCAGTTTCGAAAGCTCTTTCTTCTTGGCGCGGCGAACTTTGACGGCCAGGACCTTGCAGTTCATTTCTCAGGTCAGAGGCACGAAGCTAAAAGCAGCTAAAATCCTGAAGAGGCACCTCTGCCAGCACCGTAACACGCCACTACATGCAAAGCGTCCCACACGTGAGATCTACCTACACCAACTGCAAGAAGTGTATACGACATGGATACGGGCCTCAACAGCAATATGAGGATGGGCAAGCAGTGGCTTGCCCACTTGCCACCGGACACTCGACTTGAGGCCCCTGCCGCCTGAGCACCATCGGAGACAGACACGTCGAGGGCAATGCCTAAGGCAAGCATGATCGAAACGCAAAATGAGAGATGAGAAGTAACTCCTCCAAGCTCTGTAGCAAAGCATGTCACAGCCACAACCGCGTCCATAAAACCCACATGCATCACCTCTGCCCGGAGGATGTAGTGAAGGTTGAATCTATGTTGGAACCATAGAGCCTTAGCTCCCGAAGCCCGGTTTACGAACGTAAGTGCAAGCTGTCCGCAGGCAGCTCCAAAATCTCATCACGGGCTTTGTTGTGGGAGATCGGTCTCTCGAAAGCTCAAGTGAACGACACTAGATACACCTACATGTGCCGCCAGCCGTTTATTATTGCAAGAACATGCTATGCATGCAACGCGTGCCGAACATTGCGACAGCAGACTTGGCAGATGGGATGTGTAAAGTATGCTGATGCTCTCCTTCTTCCAAAGCGCATCTGAGTGGGAGTTGATCCGTCTGAGAGAAACCCGAAACTCGAAAGCCATGCAGAGGGAGCAGGCTGCGGGGGTCACAGCAAGCGTGGATGCTCCCTACGTTCTAGAGTCTGGAGTGCATACATCAGCTTTAAGCATTTCAGCTATTTGGCTTAACGGTCCTCAAAAGCATTTCGGAGATTACTGACTACTGGCAAGCCTTCCCCCACAGCGCCCATGCCACTGCCCAGCTCCAGGTTTTCTGCGCCCGCGACCTGGGCTGGGGTGCCTTACTTTGAATGCGCTATAATTCTCGTGAAGAGGCGACAAGCTCCTCCACAAGCATGCCAAGCAAGATAAAGCTCTCAGACTTCTGCTCTTGGCACTTGAAGCCCGTTTACCAAGTTCCGAAAAAGCTGCGGTTGGGATCAGCCTGAAATTGCGGGAGATGATCTCCCATCGACTGGTGCAGATCAGCTGCCACCGTCCGCTGCCGGTGTGGGGCCGAAACAAAGTTCACCCGTGCGCCATCCGATCGCCCAGCCTCACGTATATAGTAGAACTTGCTGGTTTAAGGGGGGCGGGAGAGTCGACGCCCAGAAGAATCCCAATGTAATCTGGTTTTAGTCGTCCCTATTCTCACTCCTCCGCTCTCCCGTAAGCACTAGCAGGGGAAGGCAGCGACGCATAGTTTGCGTTGGCTTCAGAGCCTGAGCCACAGCCCAACCCTGGAGCTCAAGGCCCAGAACCATATCGTCAGCAACAAACAGAAAGTGCAGATTAGAGATGCTATAAGTCTGTAAGGGTTTCTGTAAGGTTACTAGAGGGGGTACTACAAGGGTTGACTTCAGAAAGGGGCAAAACGTGGCCTCCACCTGCACGCCGAAGGGGACCTAGGCAAACACCCAAATTCAGGAAAAGTGCATGGTTTGCAGCTTGGCAACCCGCCTTTTCTCTCCCCCCCTCCCAAAACACATACACTCGCACAAGCCGTTCCGATGCTCGCATCGGACCTCGACTTGGGGAATTGCGGACTGTGTAGGCTGGCTCGCGTCGGTACTACTCATCATCACTTCACGGACCGAAGACGTGCGAGATCCGGGTTTACGGGTCCAGGGCAGCTTAGCTAGGGTTGGCGGTGAAGCAGTGTTGCTGGGTTTGTGGTTCCCTCAAACACAGGCCGGGCGGCAGCTGGGACGCCTTTGACCTCAGCTCGGAAAATCAAATATCAACGCAGAAGCTGTCACACTAACAACGGCAGGTCCTCACCAGTCATCCAAGCAAAATCATGCAATGGTTGACCTAATCTCCATCTTCACCCATTTGCTGCAAACACAACAATCGTAGTGGCTGTGGTGACGACAGGCACCATTGTTGTCACAAAAACAACGACGACAACAACAAACGGAATACGGATAACACGCATGAAAGTTGCCATCATAGTACGACATATAGCGCTCAGTAGACTTGGTCAGGCCCCAGCAGCGGACATTGTGGTTAGGTTCTTCAACAGGAAGCAATCACGTGCACCGATGCTGGGTAACATCTTCAACATGAAGCAGTCCTTCCCCTCCCCGGCCATGTCCCAGGAAGCTTTCCGAGCAAGCACATGAATCAAGAGCAACTCTTTCTGATGTCATGATGGGTCTTGGGCAGTCGGCCCGTTTTGCTGAGCCTGCCCCAGAACCCTCATGCAAACCGCCACGCGTGAGCCAATCACAACAAAACCCCACCCAAAAAAATGACAACTGCTTCGGAAAGTCCGGCGGCACACAGCGATCCGCTGATAGCGCCCGCGGAGCGGAACTGGATGGACGAGGTGATGCGGGATGGCAGCGGCGTGGGAAAGCCTGCAGCTTAGTAGAAAACAAGCCTGGAACTTTGTATCTGGTGGGTGCTGCAGCCGGTCACAGCTTGTCTCGAGCTTGGTAATCCCCCGGACCTGTCCTAGAATCCCAGAACCATGTTCATGTCAGCTGGCCCTGGCCTCCAGACCGAGCTTCCGGCTCACCTTCAGTGAGCTCCACGGTCACCTTCACAATATTTCAGTGCTTGCCATCAAGCGGTCATCTTCTTCTTTCGTTCGGCACATGTTCTGCGCTCGGTGCCCCATGAATGCCAAGCTGCACTCCGGAGGTTCACGGAGCCTGACGGACTTGGACCTTAAAATCCTCCGCACTGTGCCAATCACACAGACGGCAGGCAAACGATCGATATTTACACTACGAAGTCACCATCTGAAGCAGCTGAAACATCCATCAACCAGAGCGACATGACACCGGTATGACCGCGGGATGCATTGTAGACCGCTCGCGCCCGGAGGGGATGATTTCGCTGGAAGCGAGGAGCATCACTGCCCCAGGTACAGGGACGGAGACCGACCAGGTATCCGTCTTCGTTTCCAGCTTCATTCCCATTCCCATACATTACTCCACCTTGGTTGTCCGCGCTGGCGACGACGGAGCACAGGGTTTTGTTCGTGATGTCGTCGATGAGTTCGAGGGACAAACCGGCGAGATGAAGGTGGGGAGCTGCAAAGACCAGGTCCACGAGTTCGTCTGCTCTGTGCCGGTCGTTGGGAGACTTCGGATGCGTGTGGTAGAAGCCCACGGGCTGCACTGCTTCAACTACATGCAAGCATTCCTCTGGAGGGGTACCCGGCGCACAGGCGGGAATATCGTACTCGATGTTTTCCACTCCCTGGTGATCCCCGTTTCCGCTGGTGACATCGCAGCAAGCACCGAACTCCATCTTGCGCGTGTCGGGGCTGGCATCCTCGAAGTAGAAGGTGTACCTCACACGAACGAAGTCTGCGCGCAAACATCTCAGTATCAGCAGTCAGGAAAAACCAAAACAAGACCTGGTAAATTAATCGCTTCCATGCACTTCATGAAAATCTCATCCTGCGGTTCCTCCGAACACTGAGGGTCACTGCACTCTTTGTCCGTGTCGATCAGGAACACACCGTGTTCGCAGCAGCGCCATCCGCCGGCGTAGGTGGCGAGGTGGCAAGAAGGGTTTCCGGTCTTTTCGAACTCCGGGCTGCACCTGAGACGGCAAGAAGCTTCTTATGGCTATCGCGCGAGCAGAGCAAAATCACAGGGACACCACAACCCAAGGGAAGAAACTAAGTGCTGCTAAACCACTGGATAGGTGGGTAAGGCTCTTTCCCGTCAATCTTCCTTTGCTTGACATCAATCTTCCGCTGTGGCGTGCACGGGCATTCTAGCAGCTTCGAATATGACAGAGATGTGTTTCGCAAGGGCCTGTTGGTGTTGATTACATGGAACGTTGGTGCCCAAACGTGGGGCTTCTGGATCAATCTGCGGAAGGGTGCTTGATACCTTTGCGGGTTGTGCCGGTACTCAGCGCCAGCCGCACTGCCGAAGTAGACCAGCTCGGGAGAATCTGTCAAGCTCGTCAGAAAAGACTGCACATGCCAGCGCGTCATGCCATGGCAGCCATGAAGCATCCGAGCAAACATCTCGTCTTTGGCAGCCTGCTCCTGAATCTTCATCATCGTGCTGTTATCGCCCATCGCCAGAATGTAGTGATGCAAATAATGGTCGCTGAGCTTGACCTTTGACTCTGTGCCTGCTGCATCCTTTCGGACCATGTCTACATCGAAACCGGTAATTGCCATTGCCTTTCCCTGTTCGAAATATCGCTCCACAATACTTTGCGGCAGAACCATCGGGCCCTGCTGCTTGTTGTATACTTCACCATACCGCAGCTTGATCGGCTCCGAATACACCGTAAAGCTCTCTGGCGTCACAGGCTCTGCTGTCGCAAGGCACAGACCTGCCAGCCACACCAACATGTCGGATTTGTGAGACATACTCATCAGCTAACCTTGGAAAATCAGATGGGTCCTCATGCTGCGGGCAATCAGCTTTCGCGCACCAAGCTGAGACGGGACACTGAGCAGGCAGCCACCTCATTCCGACACAGGTATGACTTGACGCACACCGACACAGCAGAGTCCATGTCGGTAATTGTACAAAGAGAATAAGAAAAGCAGCAGGGGGACAGTAATAATACAGCAGCAGCCGCGTCAGTGGCTCATTATCAACAGTCACTACAGCGACACGGACGACAATATGCAGCAGGTCCCTTTCGTACCTCCCGTTGGGTCTGCGTGTTTCGTGTCATGCAAAATCTCCAAATATTCGATCAATCCGCACGCTGCAACCTTCCTGCATTCATCTCACCGAATACCTCCAAAACCCAGAAACCGTGACTTTCATTGGACCCTTCACGGATGCCTCCACATCCTCGACCTCCGGAGTCACAGAGATGGCGAGCTGCGCCCGTGCTGCTCCCTGGAAGTGAGGACGGCTTGCGGTGTCATCTCGCCATCATGCTTGACAAGTGGTTCTTATTGTGATACATGCCGGAATCCAGGAGCATGACCCAACCTTGCCCACCCACAACACTAGGGGCGATGTTCCTGAAGCTTTCAAAACTGCTGGGCCACGAAACGGCTCGCGACTAGGCTCTACCTCGACTTCAGCTGTACATGGGCTCATGAAATCTCGCGAAGTCGGCTAGCCCCAGCTGCAGTCCGATAGACAAGGGTTCGATGTGCCATTCTGTGCGACGTGCCATGGTTCTTGCAAATTATGGCATACATGACAAAACAAGCAGGTGGACATGGCGTCACGCAAAAGAACAAAATACAGCCCACCATGCCGCGGAAAAAACATGTCACGGTGCAATACCAGTAGAGCAAGACATCGTCGGACAATCGCTGCATCTGCACAACTTCTGCACATAAAAATCGAAAACTAAGGCGTGCAACTTTCAAGCAGTACCTGGCAAAAGCAGCAACTGATGTAGCATGAGAAAGGACATGTCTGCCTAGAAAGGCAGCTACAAGTACAGCAAAAAGTTGAGAAAACGTGCATTTGCTCAGAGAATAGATGGGAAGCCAACAACGATGGCCCGAGCTTCCTGAACAAGTGCCACGGGACGAAAAGTTGAAAAGTCCTTTCCTTGAGTCTTAGTCTTAATCCAGCTTTGCGACAATTTCTGTTCCTCAGCTGCGACCCCCTCAGCTTAGCTCCAGCCCACGCCCTGAATCCTTACATTATGTACATTCCAGTCCAGGCGAGCGCCCTTCGAACGTCATCCAAGGAGCTCCCCTGCGCGCTGCAGGGAGGGAGGGAAGTCCTCGAGGCTTCGAGATTGAAGGTGCAGATGAGCAGGCGGTCGGCTGGTGCAAGGCGGGACGGATAAGTAGTGCTCGTGGTATTTGTAGTGGCTGGTATTGACTGGCGGTGACTGGCAGTGTCAGCGGTAGCGGTGGTGGTCGTCGTCGATACCGACATCTCAACAACTATGATAGGACTGGTGGTCATCATGCCTAGAACCCATCCGACCATACGAACCGTACATGTACGGAAGCACCATTCGATTTTCTCCAAAGCAGGCCCTGCCTCTTCAGGGCTCCGATGGCCGGCAGGCGGAGACTCTCTGCAGGACTGGGAGGAACCTCTGGCTGAGACTCGCCAGTATTCCACAGTCGCTTTCTAAAATTCACGACACAATATATGTATGTGTACATATATTATATATATATATATATGTATATATATATATACTATATGTATTTAGATATATATGAGATGTAATGCGTATGTATATATATATATATAGGCTCTTTCGGTCGTTTTTTCTCACCCGGGGCGATTCCCGTCTGCTGTGTTGATGGATTCGTTCAGGTTTCTGCCCGTCAAAGTCAGGTGCGTTGTGGCCCCCCACATTAGGTAGCTGCGGCAAAGGCCTATTCCTCGACTAGTGCTGCTGTTACTATCAAGCTATTGCGACCAGTGTTGCTACGACAACTACTGCAGCTGCACTGCTGCAAATTGTGAAGCAGCAGCCAACATCCTTCAAGCGAAGCACCTGTGGACCCTAGACCATGCGCAGAAGTTAGCTACAACGCTGCAGCTGCACCAAAACGATGCGAAGCAGAATTCGCAAACATCGGTTGACACCCTTTGAGACGAAGGCCTCAATCAGAAAACCCGCTCTTGCAAGCAGCCGTCCACATGACGACTGGTACGAATACAAAGCCAAGACACCGCAACCAGTGGGGTCCTAAGCATTGAGATCGAATCCAAAAGACACAAGTGTGAAGGTCCGGCGTACTTTGCAGGTACAGGCTGGCTTGAAAGCCGGCTCGAGTTGTTCATAGTCGTTCATGCTGCACGTGCTAGGTGCTTTGGAGGGGGGGCACGAACTCCTTGTGCGTGGGAATCCAGATTCTTGAATGCTGATGTTCGCTCTACCGTATTCCGAAATCGCGGGGGTGCAAACGATGTTGCAGTGTCGTTTGGTTTTGGGGGACTCTAGGGACACGGCTTCGTTCTGTCAAACGACGTCCGATTTCGGTCCAAATTCCGAAATTGAAGCCCAAATCGTGCGTCGTTTGGTTTTGGGGACTCTAAGGACAGGGCTTCGTTCTGTGTAGTATTCCGAAATTGCCAAAGGAGGCAAACGACATCCGATTTCGGCTCAAACCACGAAATTGAACCCCAAATCGTGCGTCGTTTGCTTTTGGGGGTGGAAAAGAGGGTTCGTCCGTGGCAATCATTCCAGTGCTGATGTTGCTCAACTGTATTCCGAAATTGCCAGGGGGTGCAAACGACGTCCGATTTCGGTCCAAATTCCGAAATTGAAGCCCAAATCGTGCGTCGTTTGGTTTTGGGGACTCTAAGGACAGGGCTTCGTTGTGTGTAGTGTTCCGAAATTGCCAAAGGAGGCAAACGACGTCCGATTTCGGCTCGAACCACGAAATTGAGACCCATATCGTGCGTCGTTTGCCTTTGGGGGGTCCAGGAAAGAGGGTTCGGTCCGTGGTAGTCAGTACGGGCGATTTTGGCTTTATTCTGTATGGAATTTGCCTATCTTTTCACGGCTGCAACTGTCGTAGTCAAGAAAAGCACACGACGTGTGTTGCGTTTTTTTGTGTGTTGTGTCGTGTGTTCTCTTTTTTAGTTCTGGGATTTCGGGTATATTCCGTATGGGATTTGCCTATCTTCTAAGGCTGCCACTGTTTCAGTCAAGAAAAGTGCATGACGCATGTAGGGGATTATTGCTATTTTTTCGTGGTGTATCATATTTCCTGGTTCTGGGTTTTCGGCTTTTTTCTGTATGGGATTTGCCTATCTTTTTAAGGCAGCGACTGATTTGTGAGATTTTGTTAAGTAAAGTGCATGACGTTTGTTGGGGATTATCGCTATTTTGTGTGGTAGTGCATTATATTTCTAGTTCTGGGATTTGAGCCACATTTTATAGGAGTTGCGTACTCTTTTGCCGCCACACAAACTTCCCCAACCGAACCCTCCAGAGTCAAGGCATGATTTGGAACCTGCGACAAACACAACCCACCTGTCAACACATTCTTCGTTCGTTCATCGAGGTTTAAGAGCAAACTTCAGCAAACAGTGCTTGCTGAGGCTTTTGTGCCCCTTTCACCTGCGGCGCTTTCGGGCTGAGCCTTCGGCTCGAGGGTTCTGCTCGTCTTCTGAGTCTGCACCACGAGCCTG